TAGGGTGGAGGCCATCACTAGTAGTTTGGAGGCCATCGCTACTAGGGTGGAGGCCATCACTAGTAGTTTGGAGGCCATTGCTACTAGGGTGGAGGCCATCACTAGTAGTTTGGAGGCCATCGCTAGTAGTTTGGAGGCCATCGCTACTAGGGTGGAGGCCATCACTAGTAGTTTGGAGCCATTGCTACTAGGGTGCAGGCCACTTCGTCACTTGCTTTTTGACGAAGCAGCCACTCCAATCTTGCGGCACGTTCGTCTCCAGGAGTTGCGCCGCGATGTGATTTGCTTCAGCAGTGCAATCACATCCATGGAAACTCAGTGGCGGTGGGCTCTTCAGCTGCTTCGTGAGATGCTCGACCTTCGGCCTCTAAAATCTCTAAAAAGAGAGTGACTGGGGGGAGCATTTCTTGACCGCCCTCTAAATAAGTGCAGCACATGGATGGCCGCAAACCAAGACTTTTTGTTGTTTCATCCCTTGGTTGGTCATGGCAAAGAGCCTTTTTGCTTGTTCAAGTCAAGTGCACGTGTGAGTCACGAATTGATTCAGGCATACCAGGTTACCACCTTTGAAATTGGTGGAATAAGTTTCAACTCTGTGTGTTCTACAATTTCAATTTGTTGTTCAAAGGGCGAGCGAGTTAATTGCAAGCAATCCTCATACAAGTTTGGACTGGCCACAGATATAGCAGAACTACCTTGAAGAAATGTTCAGCATAAACGTAGTACATTTGCCGTGAAATGCGCTGTTTTAAACTTTCAACCTCAGGAAGATGGCATGGAAGCTAATGTCTTTACGTACAGTTCTGCCATAAGTGTTTGTGACAAGGCGGGCAGCGTGGGCCTGGCTTTGGGCTTCGTAGGTTTCGTTGAATTCCGATTGTGTTTTTGCAATCTTTTGCTCCAGTCAAGATTCGTGGCTGCGATAAACGGCGTTGGCTCAAAAAACGAAGCATCACGAAGCCAGGGGCCACCAGGGGCCACGGAAGTGCAACACGGCTGCGCAACACAGCTGCTGTGTTTCCAATTTCAAGGCTCAGCAATGGCAACGGGCTTTGGTACTCCTGGATGAGATGGGTTTGGACAGTGTGGAGGCCAATGTGCGCCTTGGCTTTTCCAAGGACGGGATTTTTGCAAATGATTCTTGTTCACAAAGCACTAATTGTATGAGCTACAGTCAAAACATGCGAACACCACTTTGTAGAGAGGGGTAGTTCTTTTGCACAAAACCCTGCAAAACGATAAGGTCCACCTCAAAACCGATAACCCCCGCGCTGTATATGATCATGAATCATAAGTATGCGGCGAACTCAAAACACTGTAAAACGATAAGGTCCAATTCAAAATCCCTCATATAGAGGACTTAAAAAGGTTTTTGTTGTGCCTGGGACTGAAAACCGGACCCATTTTCATATGTTCTTCGCATTGCGAGCTTAACGCGGACCGCTATTTCTCGATCAGCCGGCCGGCCGGCCAAACCCAAAGCCTCAACCGGCTGGCCAAAAACCACGCCGCCAGCCAGCCGGCCGGCCAGCCGACCAAAACCACGGCGCCAGCCGGCCGGCCCTATCGTGCCACCACTACCACGACTACTGCTGCTGCTGCTGCCATACTACTACTACTACTCCTACTACTACTACTACTACTCCTACTACTACTACTCCTACTACTACTACTACTACTACTACTACTACTACTAGGTGCTACACTAGTACTAGTAGTACTACTAGTACTACTACTATTTCTACTACTACTACTACTACTACTTCTACTACTACTACTACTACGACTACTACTACTACTGCTGCTGCTACTACTACTACCACTACCACTACCACTACCACTACTACTACTACTACTACCACGACGACTACTACTACTACCACCACCACTACTACTACTACTACGACTACGATTAGGACTATGACCACTACTACATGGTATGGTGTCATGGTTGTTACGCAGAGCTGGGGGGGCTGGGGGCGGGAAGCAATTTTGCTTCTGTTTTTTAGATATGTGTGGGGAGCATGAAGGCTCAAGCGATGTGACTGTGAGTGTCTTGGTTCTGTTGTTTCGTTTGTCGGGCGTTGCATGTTTTCTCGTGTTGTTTGCCATCTTCCTTTGGGGCGTGTCAATCTTGTTTCTTTGGACCAATACGCTGACAGTTTAACTCGTGATTGTTCTGATCCTTAGGTTCTTTTGTGCACCAAACCGTGTTGGATTCAGATCGTTGATAGGCAAACTGGGAGCTGAGCTGGTGTTGGAAACTCATTTGTTTTTTTGGTGGTGCAACGTGTGGTTGAGACTTTGTAAAAAGAGAGGCTAAGTCCTTTTCTTTGGGTGCTGAGTCGGCGTTTGTTGCGTAGTTGCAGCTCCATGTTGGATGTTCCTGCGCGTGGCTGATCACGATCTCTTGCGCACGCCTTCGTGACACCTCCTCGCCGCAGATCCTTGGTCCTTGTTTGTTGGTCTGAGCATTGTTATTCGGTCTGTGACTTTCTTTTTGCTCCGCTGACTCACGACGATTCGCTCGACGAAGGCACTTGTGAAAAATGATGAACGCGAAGCTTGACTAGGGAGAGCAAGCGAACGAAAAATGTCGCAGGTGGACGTGTCACGACCATGCCATTGTTTGAAACAAAAAAAGAAAGGATAATCCATTGCCTTTTCCAGTGCACTTTACCTTTAGACGCCTGACAAAAAGGTGCGGGCTCCAATCCGTACCATTGTTTGTTTCAGCCCCCATGGCATCTTTCAATTCATCGTCCAAATTCCACTAAAACAGAGGGGACTTAATACCTGTGATTTGTGGTGAAGTCGGGGCTTTTGGTTGATGGGGTCGAGACGAAACAAAAATAATGGGAATGAAGGGAAACAGCAAGAAAAAAAACAGAATAACGCTTGGGAAGGACATGCAGTCTAGAGAATCCAGGCTGTCAAGTGGGAAAACATGTTTTGTAGGCCGTTCCTACCTAACTAAGTTTCAGATCGCGTTTCTTGGGTTGCTCATTGTTTGATGGGGCTAAACTCCCTTTCAGAAACTATGCGCCTTTCAGGAACTACGTTAGACTGTAGTGTAGATGTTTGGCTCGGAGGGTCAGTGGCTCCGAAAACGATGGAGTTTCCGAAACAGGGTTTCAAAAACATAAATACTATATCATTATATCCAGTTTCCGAACCATTCCGAACAGTTTCCAGAACAGAGGCAGTTTCCGAACCATAGCTTCCGAAACGGGTAAATGTTCCGAAACATCCCTAGTTTTGGACACGTAGTTTCCAAAACATCGTTTCAGAACCATGGATTCAGACCCTGTTTGTTGACCGTTTGAGGGTCAGCTTCAATGCGGCAATCAATGCGTGTGCCACATCGGCCAAGTGGACCTTTGCCATTGCTCTCTTGCACTCCATGTGGCAGGACAAATTGTGTTTGCCTGTTTGCGGACAAACGCAGTACCAGATGAAATACTTCAAGTGACTGCACTTAAGACTTGTATGTTTCTGTTTCTGGTTCCTATGCGGTTGTGTTCAAACTTACCTCCAAAGTCCTTTCATGGCTTTCTCAAGCGTTCTTCTTGCTTCAAGAAGACGGTGGAAGCGGATCCCATGACTTTCAGCTTCTTGGTTCCCTCCCTGTTCTGTGTTAGACTCGAAACAAGCAAACAACGGAGGAAACCATGCCAAGATCTGAAACGGCTTTGCTGAGAGTTCCAAAGGTTGTTTGCTTCGCTTTCAGTTTTGCGTTTTCTGAGTTAGTTCAAGGTTCGGTGGTTTCTAGTCTGGAGAAGTGCACTCAATGGCAAGAGGCAGTGGAGGCGCGGCAAGTGAGTGTCACCACTTCCCAAAACGTGATCCGAGTGTCATCCTTGTGGGGAATTTAGGCATGTCTAAGCCACAATCACGCTGTCATATATCATGAATGTAACCATATGGGACCATATGCAAGGACTTGTGCAAGACTTCTCTCGTCCAGGTTGTTTCAAACATGGCATCAGGGCGCCTGGGTGATGCCTTTGCCTATTCTGCGGCCATTGGAGCACTGCAGGGGCGCTGGCGACATGCACTGGTTCTCTTCGAAGAGATGCGGGGCAGTTGGGTTGTGCCGTCTGACACCTTCATGATGTGGAAAGAAGTGGAAAGCACAAGACGAACAGTTTGCCAAAAAGTGTTCCAAAAAGTACAAACAAACAAGTTGCAAAAACAAGTCCTTTGCCAAACATGTTTGCCGATGTTTTAGCCTGCTGAAAAAAACATCGTCCGTGTCAACTCTTTGGCTCTCATTCCGCATGCAGGTGTGGGAGTGAGGTGAAAGCAGATGTCATTTGCTTCAGTGCCCTTGTCACTTCATGCGAGAAGCTTGGGACAAGCTGGGACTGTGATCAGGCGTGAGTGGAACAAACAACAAGCAGTCGCTTCATGTTGTTTCCACATGTTTCCACAGGTGCTTTCAAAGCCTAAGTCATTGCTGGTAACTGTGGGCTCGTGGGGCTCGTGGGGCTCGTGGTTCGTCCGGCGAGAATACGAGCTAAGTGGAGCTAAGGAAAGGTCATGCAATGCATCCTGCTTTGAATTTGCTGAAGTCCATGCGCAGCCAGCAATGCCAGTTTGATATCATAATTTGCAATGCGCCTTGTTCTTATCGCAGTTGCGTTTGTATTTGACGGAACGTGACACTTTTCGTGACACATCTCCGGGACAAATCGCCAAAGGCAGTGATTTCGTGCTGCGAAAAGCGTGGCGATTGGCCCAGCGCGCTCGAAATCTTGGAGATGCGCAGGCGAGCGCGAGAGAGTCGCACATGTTTTCGAAAGAACGACGAACGGCCACGCGCTTTCTTCTTCCAGGTGCATGTTGCCGCACAGGCTCGGTGGGACGAAGTGAGGGTGAAAGCTTTGTGGAAATGTGAAACCTGCACACACTGAGTCACCCACAACCTGCACTGAGTCACGATGTTGTGGGCTGCAGTGCCGCAGTCAGTGCCTGTGAGTGTCTTGGATTCACAAGTGCCACATGCTCAGCAGTCACCGTTTCAAAGTGGAAAGGAGAAAGATCAAACTGTGACGTGACATGTTTGTTCTCACTGCGGCTTACCTTGCCTCGACGGTCAGGAAGGCCAAAGAATGGCGTTGTGCACTGCAGCTGCTTTCCGAGCAGGCAATGAATTTCCCAAAGCTGCTAGGTCACGCGGTCACGCGACAACGAAGGAAGTCAGTTTGCAAACCGCAAAACATATGGTGTGTGTGTGTGCGCGCATTGTTTTTTCCTGTGTATACAAGATAAAAACCACAAGAAAGTAGAAAGGACTAACGACTAAACGTCTAAAGAAAAGAAACATACAGAAACAAAGACAAGGGCGTGCTTGGCGTTCTCCATGTTTCTTTGCTATCTTTGCTGCATTTTGCTGCGAAGGACACACGGGACACCATTATTTGTAATTCTGCAATCAGTGCATGCGAGAAATGCATCGAGTGGAGGCCGGCGGGGGTCACCTTCGAATCATGTGAAACCATTTGGCTACCCGATTCGGATTCTACATGGGAACACCGGTAGACAGCAATTGCCAAAACCTTTATGTCAGAGCGGAGTTAAACTGGCAGGTCTCGCAGAAATTAATCCGAGTCGAACTTATTGTTACTATTGAATAAACTCAGCAGTGTAGCAGAGTAGCACGATGCAAACACTGCGGAATGCAAAACCTTGATACATGGATTTGCAATGTTTTTGTCGCTGCCGAATAGTGCAAAGGATGTGCCAGTGTTCGTTTGTGTGAAAAACGCACAGGTGGTCCCTCCGTATTGTGGCTTTGATGAAGGAGATCCAAGTGCAGCCCGATGCAGTGAGTGCGGGTTCTGAGATGTGTCAAGTGAAAGCGATGAAAAACGTGTTCCTCCAGGTCCAGTTTTTACCTTGTTTGTTCTTCATTTTAACCTTTGGACCTTTTGTATTTTTCCTGTTCCTTTCCTGCCTGCTTTCCTTGTTCCTTTTTTCATACCATGCAACTATCCAAGTTGCTGATTTACGATGTGACGTGTCATCATGTGATGCAGTGAGTTGTGATGTGAAAGGTGTGGAGGGTTAGTGGTTGGTGTGGTGAAGTGTGATTGGTGTGGTGTTGTAGAAAGGCATTTTACATCACGCAGTCTGTCCGGGCACAGCCATGAACATGATTTCAAGACCAGAGAGACATCCAAGACACATGTGAAGCCACAGTAGAACCCAGTTTTCCCTTAGGATCCCTTAGGTATTTCTACTTTTCGACATGTTCCCTATACAAACCTATAGGTTCCTCAACGGTTCACTACCCTTTCGCTTTGTTCGATACGTTTATTCAGACACCTCTACTGTTCTTATGGTTTTCTCTAGAAGTTCCTTGTTTTGATAAGCATCTCTTTCTTTCAAGTTTTAATTCTGCACTTTTCCAACCTTGTTTTAGCACATTGCGAGGGACTGTTTCGACGGCTGGTCTCCATTCGGTCTGTGCTTAGGAACAAGAAGCTACTAAGAGCAAAGGGCATCACTACTAGGAGCAAGGACGCTACTAGTAGCTCCTGGCCTTACTACTAGAAACAAGAAGCTACCAGTAACAAAGGCATTTCGACGCTGTGCGAACCGGTGACCGTATCTCCGAGTATGTCGCACTGTTGGTTTATCCTATCGGACTTTGCAACTTGAGGGATTCGGTGATGGCCTCCAACCTACTATTGCGATGACCTCCAACCTACTATTACGATGGCCTCCAACCTACTTTGCGATGACCTCCAACCTACTATAGCGATGGCATTCCAAGCCACTATAGGGATGGCCTCCAACCTACTAGCGATGGCCTCCAACCTACTATAGCGATGGCCTCCAACCTACTAGCGATGGCCTCCAAGCTATTACAGCGATGGCCTCCAACCTACTAGCGATGGCCTCCAACCTACTATGCGATGGCCTCCAACCTACTAGCGATGGCCTCCAACCTACTAGCGATGGCCTCCAACATACTTTGTGATGGCCTCCAACCTACTTTGCGATGGCCTCCAACCTAGTAGCGATGGCCTCCAACCTACTTTGCAATGGCCTCCAACCTACTATAGCGATGGCCTCCAACCGATTAGCGATGGCCTCCAACCTACTGTGCGATGACCTCCAACCTACTTTGCGATGACCTCCAACCTACTATTTAGTTTTTGACTTGTTTTGTATGGGTTTGTGACTAGTGTTTGCGCTAAAGGCGTTGTAAAACCGGTAAAACACATGTTGTTTAAAACCGTTTTGCAGGCCAATTTCCTTTTGTCCAAACGCACGGTTCAAGAAGGGCAGAGAAAGATTTTTTTACCATGTTGCATGGATCTGTCGGCATTGGCTTTATCAAAGATGCTGTGAAACCATGTGAAACCCGTACAAAGCGACTTTGTTTCCATACCATACAAAAAGAAATTTTCGCTTCAAGTCTGACATTATGGGGGCTCCGTTTGCTTTAAACCTTCCTTTTGCTTAACCGAACCTTCCTTTTCCTTTCTATTTGTTCGTTTCGGGTCGCCTCTTCTCATCTCGTTGTCCAAGTCTCTCAGCTATGGATTCTATCGAAAGGCGAAGCAAAAACGAAAATCCAAATGTTCCCCTCTACCGTTCTCTTTGCGGGGGCGCGAGCGGGTACCCCTTATCAAAGCAACGCGCGAGAACCAGCTTAGCGTTCTTAGACCATCTCCATGCTAGAGATGCATGTCTTCCGGTGTCACTTGCAGTCTCCAAGCATGTTTGTGCTTTTGTTGCGCAAGATTGCAAGCATGTTGGAGTTGCCAAACACTTCGAACTCTTTTGCAAGGTTGTAATGCGGCCATCAGCGCGCTCGTGGGCCCAGAAAATTTTATTGTTCCTCACAATACCAATGGGACCAGTGGGTAAAGACATCAAGAAGATCCTAGGTCATAGAGCCATGGAGCAAAGGTCATGCCATGCCAGCTTGTATCACATGGCCTATCATGGTATTTGGCATATTGGAAGGTTGGAAGTCAAAAATACTTAAGTTGTCATGATGTTTTGGCCTTTCAGTATTGTGCCAGGCTAGGGCTAGGGGTCGATAGTTTCATGTGTGTGTGCAACCTGCGAATATGCCAAACTGCTTCATCCTTCACAAGATACCAGAGTTTTCAGGTGTGAGAAGGAGGAACGCCCTGCGACACCGTTTCCAGTAAGATGAAGGACATGACAGAAAGCACACAAGGCACTTGAAACGGAAGCCACCATCGATGCTGAAATTTATCAAAGAGAAAAGTTTTTGGATCTTGTGGGGAGATGGTCAAGCACAGTTGGAGAAGGACTTTTCGCTCGAAATGTTTGCTCAAGTATTGCCGCAAATGGAAGGGATTCGCGGAGATTTGCTCTGTAATTTTGTCGTTTTAAGACTGAAAAGAAACCTATGATGTCTATTCAGAAAGGACACATCTTTGTCAGATGTTTATGATGTTTAATTAAAAAGAAGTTACTAGTAGCAAGGTGCCTTACTAGTAACAAGTGCCTTACTAGTAACAAGAAGCTACTAGGAGCAAAGGGCATCGCTACTAGGAGCAAGGATGCTACTAGGGGCTCCTGGCATCGCTACTAGGAGCATTCTTACTACTAGTAACAAGAAGCTACTAGGAACAAGTGCATCGCTACTAGGAGCAAGTGCCTTACTACTAGTAACAAGAAGCTATTAATTTACTTTAAACTTAATTCTAATAGCTTCTTTGTTACTACTAGTAAGGCACCTGTTACTACTAGCGTGGCACTTGTTACTAGTATCATCTAGCTGATACAAAACGATGAAAAACTCTGACCGTGTGGAACTTCGGCTCCCAGGAGCACCGAGGTGTGAGAACGCTTCGCTGTGGCGTTGGGCCATTGCTTTGCCAAAGAACGACTGGGGAATGGCAGCGATGATCAGCGCCTGCGAGTTTCTTAGAAAAAGAATAGTATACAAGAGTAAAAAAGAGTATAAAGAAAAACACATCAAATAATTTACAAAAGTTGTTTTGCAAAAGCTGTGTCGAAAAGAGCGAATTTGTCAAACTTTAACATCTCAATGCACTCGTGAGGAAGGCGCAGAACTGGACATCAATGTTGCATCTCCTGATGTTGCAGCGCTTGATGGGGCTTGTGCCTGGAATCATCAGCTGCTTGCGCCCAAAGACAGGAAAAGACAAACATGGAAACATTATGAAAAAATGAACATCTAACTCACCGTTCGTTTTGGACAGCTGCCCTTAGCTTTTCGGCATGAAATGCATGTCAGTTGGGTTTTTTCTTGTCGTCACTTTTCTTGTTTCGATGTTGGACTTCAAGTGATTTTAAGGCTTCGAGGCCGCCCTGCGCGGTTGCCGATTGCGCTGGAAGGCCGCGAACGGATGCAAGCGTGAGAAATGAAAAGTAAGAAAAAACAGTGAAAAAAACTAATTCTAAGTTATATATTTTTTGTTTCTAATAGCTTCTTGTTAGGCACTTGTTACTAGTAGCGATGCACTTGTTCCTAGTAGCTTATTAATTCAACCTTGCGACCGACGTTTCGGTGGCGGTTTCCATTGCGTGTTCTGCGAATTATGTCCCACACGGCAAGCCAGCAAAGTTGGACATTCTCAATTAGCCAACACTGCGAAAGTTCAGTAATATGTTTCACACTTGGTGCCTTCTGAAAGCCTGGCTTGGCACCTTCCCTTATGGTTGCCTGAATTTAGCTTCCATTTACGGTTTGAACATGCATGAGTTATTCTTTTCCCGTGAGCAATCCCGTTTCCCAGATTGCGAGAGCTATTTGGGGTTACTTCAAGTGTAGACAGAGCCTGTGCGGTGTGGCAGCAGGGTGCCGCCAGACGTGTGGCCGTGTGCGTTTTGGAGCTTGGGCGCTGGCACTGCAGAAGTGCCGCTCCAGGTTGCTGTGGACCGTGCCGCTGCAGGGTGCATACGCATGGCAATTTGACATGGTCAACTTCAAAAATGTCATCTTGGGCCGTAGAAGGAATAGGAATAGGTGCCTATGTGTTGGTCGCTGCAGGCCGCTACAGGGCGCCACTGCCAGATGTGTATGGCCCGTGTGCGCTTTGGAGCCCGGATGCTCGTGGTGTGGCTGCAGGGTGCGCCATGTCTTTGCGATGTGCGCTTTGAAGCTTTTGTGCTGGTGCCATTGGGTGCCGCTGTGAGGTGCTGCAGGGTGTGTCTTTGCAGTGTACGCAGCGGTGTGCCGTTGGAAGGCAATAATGTTTGTGCCCTGTGCGCTTTGGAGCTTTGTTGTTTAGTGCAAGGTGAGGCTGCGGGGTTGCTGCCAGATGTCTATGGCAGCTTGAGATTTGCCTGCGTTTGCCTGCGTGTTGCCTGACTTGGTGTGTGGGTGCCTGCGTCATGCTGGCCCACAGGCATTTTTTGCTGTCTGGGGTCTATGCTGGCGTAATTCGTGTTTGAACACGAGGCGGCTGTTTTTGTCTTGGCCTCCACGTGGTCCTGGCGCCTAGAGGCGACTCCCTTGAGCTACTTGGACAGCACGGGCACGGCACTTCGCAACCCCAGACGGTCGTGTTTCAGCACTTTCCGTGTCGGTAAACTTAATTCTAATAGCTTCTTTGTTACTACTAGTAAGGCACCTGTTACTACTAGCGATGCACTTGTTCCTAGTAGCTTCTTGTTACTACTAGTAAGGCACCTGTTACTACTAGCGTGGCACTTGTTCCTAGTAGCTTCTTGTTACTACTAGTAAGGCACCTGTTACTACTAGCGATGCACTTGTTCCTAGTAGCTTCTTGTTACTACTAGTAAGGCACCTGTTACTACTAGCGTGGTACTTGTTCCTAGTAGCTTCTTTGTTACTACTAGTAAGGCACCTGTTACTACTAGCGTGGCACTTGTTACTAGTAGCACTTTCCGTGTCGGCAAATTTCGCTACGAACAGAGGGCATCGCTAGGAACGAGAAGCTACTTGTAGCTCCTGCATGGCCTTACTACTTGTAGTAACAAGAAACTACTGAGAAAACAAGGGGCATCCTGCCTTCCAGGTTACGAGTCGGCGTTGGCTTGTTCACCACCTGAGACTGCACGGAAACTCCTGGGGTCTTTGGAGGCGTTGGAGGCTTTTGACATCCTTCGACCAAAAAAAGAGCCATTGGAATTGCTGGAACTCCTTGCATCGCACCGCAATCACGACTTGATTGTTTGACAATTCTGGATCAAAAGACATGGCGAATGAAAGTCAAGAAGCAAGCTCTTGGGGAAGTTGGTCTCGTCACACATTGACAAGAAAACCATTCAACCTGCAACATGTTCCATCTTTTAGGATGAAGGCAATCAAATTTCATGCAATGAGGGATGTATGTATGCAAAAAGGAAACCATTTTTGTTGCAGTTCGGGGCGATGTATGCAATGACGAGATGTGGTCATTCGAGTCAATTGCCCAGCAAAGCCATTCCTATACATTTATATAGCATGTGTTTACATGTTTTTTGCTGTGACATTTGAAAGATCGGAGCGGTTTCTAGAAGCCCTGTATTTTAAGCGAGGCCGATCACGGCTGAAACCAAACTGTCGAGGCCAATTCCCAGGCTATCAAAGCAATCGGGATCACAATGCCTTCAAGGCTAATCACATCGGCGCAAGTTGCGACGCAAATTGGTTGTTTTTTCTATGTTTCTCTTTGCATTTGCAACTGAAAATGGGAAAAAAAAACACTGTCCAGAAAAGAGTTTTGCAGATGTGGAGTTTGATTAAATGAGCGTTTCGGGTGAAGATACAGGCCTGCCGTTGCCTCAGGTGCACTACCGAACTCCGCCCAGACAGCCTACGGGCTGCCACGCGATGTCTTCGAGATCTGGGGAGTTTCTATGCCAAGATCAGTTTCTTAGAAAAGTGTCTATATAAGCGTTTTTGGTACGGACACGTTGTGGTACCAAGGACGGTCGAGCTGGCAAGCTGCATTGAGATTGCTGAATCGGTTGCCAGAATTCCAACTGGAGCCCAATGTGCTTCTCAGATGTAGAGCTTCTTGTTACTACTAGTAACAAGTGCCACGCTAGTAGTAACAAGTGCCTTACTAGTAGTAACAAAGAAGCTATTAGAATTAAGCTTAAATTAAATTAATAGCTTCTTGTTACTACTAGTAAGGCACTTGCTCCTAATAGCGATGCACTTGTTCCTAGTAGCTTCTTGTTAGATGAGCGTTGGAGCCCAACGTGTAAACCTCACACTTTGACGTGCCTGTTAAGTGCTTATCAGGGGGAAATTGTGCCTGAAGACCCCAAGGTAAAAAGAAAAAAAGATCACGCATCACGATTCAATAGAAATTGATAGAAGTTGAACAGTTAAGATTGGACGAGACCAAGATTATCGTGTTTGGAGCCGGTGGAAAGCGTTTGGATTCGTCCGCTGGTGGTTGTTATTGTTTGCGGCGGCTCCGACCGTGAGAACAGTTTGGTTGAAAGTTGAAACTAAGTAATTATGTTTTTTTGCACCTTGAGGTTCTCTTTTTCAGCAGCACTCAGCACCTGCGAGAAGAGTTCGCAGTGGACATGGGCATTGCAACTGGTGACGGAGGGGTGCCCAAACAACTATTGAAGTACGTTTGGTCGTGGTATGTTCAAACAGAAAATTTTACTTCGGCGCCGCATGCCTCAAGTAGTCATACTGTCCTTACGTTACGTATGAGTTTGCGCCGCTAAGCATGCCACTACCACCATGCTTGGTGAGTTTTGCACCGCCAAAAGCGCCTTTTTTCCACGATTTCATGCCTTTTTGAAAACAACCAAGTAGCGATGCCCTTTACTAGTAGCTTCTTGCTCCTAGCAGGAAGGCCAGGAGCCCCTAGTAGCGTCCTTGCTCCAAGTAGCGATGCCCTTTGCTCCCAGTAGCGAGGAGTGCTGGTGAAGCTTCTGACACTGTGACATGCACTTGCGAAGCAACATTTTTGCACTGACTTGCTGTCACATCGACTCTTCAAGTGGTCGAGAATCAGATGTGTTCGCTCAGCTTTTCATATTGGTGGAGAGGGTGGGTTCCAGCTCGCGTGCCGCCATCCAGCTCTTCGCTACGGCGAGGGACCTCACAAGCCTGGAGCCGAAGACTTGAGTCTTCGCAAGTTGGAAAGAAGGACGATTGACGTTTCCTTCCGGCTCGACAAGCAGTAGGCCTATGACTTCAGGCGATCTTGGAGTACGCCGCTGTGTTCCACCAGACCGCATCGC